TGGCCTCCAAGACGGCGAATATGCCCCAAGATGCCTCCAAGACGGCCCAAGATGCACCCCAGACGGCCTAAGATGGCCTTAAGATGACCCAAGTCGGCCCAAGCCTCCAAGACGGCCCGAGAGGCCTCCAAAAGGGTACGCAGGAAGACCTGAAAAGGCACAAATCATCGATGTTCCATCTGTGTTTAAAGGATCTTAGTATTGGCTACGTTTCGGTTTTCCGACGGCCCGAGACGGCCCAAGAGGCACCCAAGGTCGCCCAAAGATCGCCCAAGAGGCCGCCGAGATGGCCCCAAGGTTGCCCAAGAGGCCCCCAAGACGGCCACCAGAGGGCCCCAAGACGGCCCAAGAGACCTCCAAGGCGCCCAAGAGGGCCTCCAAGCCTGCCATGAAGCACCCCAAGAGGGCTCCAAGTCGGTTCAAAAAGACCCCCAAGACGGCTCCCGACGGCGTCAGACGGGCCATGCACGCCCTAAGACGGCCAAAGAAGCCCCCCAAGAAGCCCCAAAGGGCCCACAAGAGGCCCAAGAGGCTCCCTGGAGGCCTCATCCTCCTACTCCTCCTCTTCCTCCTCCTCTTCCTCCCTCTCCCTCCCCTCCCGATTGACGAAATTGCTGCCCAGGTAGCCCAGGCGCAGACAGGCCCACACCAGGGATGAGGCTTGCCCACCGTCCCGGCGTTCTCTACACCAGGGGTGGGCAGTGCCGCGTCGTCCTGGCGTCGCCTAAGTTCTCTGTGTACTTGTGCGTGTGTGCGTGCGCGTTCCCCGCACGCGTGTCAGGCACCCCGACTCAGGGGGAAGGAGCGCTTCACTTCTATATTCTGCGGCACTGGCCGCAGCTACGCCTAGGCCCGATGCAGGTTCGATCTGGGGTTTTGTTTTCGTTCCGACTGGCGGTGCTGGTGTCTCGCAGCCAGCCCTGGTACCCGAGCTTTGGGGTACCGCCAGCCAGGCGAGGCATGCCGTCCTTTTCACTGCAGAGTGCTGTTTGGGCGCAACCTCGCTGCACGGCCTTTGAGCCTGCTTGCCCCTCCACAGAGACAGTGGCACAAGGGGCCCCCATGGTTTTCTGGGCACGGGGGGGGACTCGGGCTGCCTTAACCACCCCGACTGCTGCCCAGGTCCACCTTTCCACCCCTCCGCCACAGGCGGCGGAGGAATGGGATGAAGTGGCCAGGTGTGCAAACGCCACATCAGGGCCCAACTGAGTATTTGTGCGTGTGTGCGTGCGTGTGTGGCCCTGCACGCGTGTCAGGCACCCCGCCTCAGGGGGAAGGAGCGCTGCACACTCTCTTCTGCGGCACAGGGCTGCAGTTCCGCCTAAGCCCGCAGCAGGCTTTCTTTATGGGGTCAGATTTTCGTCCTGGCTGACGGTGCTGGTTGCGCAGCGGGCCCTAGAACCCGAGCTTTGGGGTTCCGTCAGCCAGGCGACGCCTAACCTCCCTTTTTTCACTGTGCGTGCTGTTTTGGCGAGTCCCTGCTGCACGGCCGAGGAGCGCCTGTCGGCGCCCTCCATGGTGACTGCTGCACAGGGGAAACCCCACAAGGGTTTTCTGAGCACGGGGGTGGACCTGGGTTGCCAGTCCGCCCCGACAGTGGCTCTGCCCCACCCCTCCCCCCCCACGATGGTGGGAGGTGGAGGTATGGTGCTGCTGCGGCTTGGTGTGCAAGGCCACAACAGGCCCCAGCACCTCATTCAGCGTCGGCAGCGCACTGCCGTCTCAGCGGCACCCACGGCCGCTGTGAAGAACAAGTGGTGGCCCAGTGCCACGAGGTTTCGGGTTAGGGTCGGGTCGGCCAACCCTTCGCCTCCCCATTAGCCAAGTGATGGCCTCTTCCTCCCTCTCCTGATCTGTTCCCCCAAATATTTTTAGAGCGGCTTGGGGAACACATAGTCCAATACCTTGGCCACCGGGAAGACCCCGTTGCAACAGCTTTTCCTGCTCCAGATGGCTCCAAGATGGCCCACGATAGCTTCCAGGACGTCCAAGATGGCCTCGAAGTTCGCCCAAGACGGTCCAAGATGGCCTCAAAGACGGCCCACGAGAGTCCAAGATGCCTAAATGTTCGCCCAATCAGCGTCCAAGACGGCCCAAGACGGCCCCGAAGAGGCCTCCAAGACGGCCAAGAGGCCTCCAAGAGGTCCTCCAGGAGGGCCCGCAGAGGCCAACGTCATTGATGTCCCTCAGATGTTTCATCCTAAATTTCAGCATGTACTTCTTTCTGGTCTTCCGACGGCCCAAAGCAGCTCAGGAGGCCCCCAAGATGGCCCCAAAGGCCTCCAAGATGACCCCGTGACGCCCCAAGAGGGCCTACGGCTCAAGAGGCCTTCAAGACGCCCGAGATGGTCTCCAAGACTGCCCCAAATGGTCCCAAAGGGCCTCCTGGACGGCCCAAGCGGGTCCAAGATGCGTCCAAGCCCGCCCAAGAAACCTCCAAGACGGCCCAAGACGGCCCAAGATGCCCCCCAAGAGGCTTCAAGACGGCTCAAGAGGCCTCCAAGAGGTCTTGCATTTTGCCCTTTACTTCTTCTCGGTCTTCCGACGGCCCATGACGGCCCAAGAAGCCCCCAAGATCGCCTTAAGGTTGCCCCAAAGGCCTCCCAGATGACCCCGTGACGCCCCAAGAAGCCTCCAAGACAGCCCCCAGAGGGCCTCGAGACGGGAGGCCTCCAAGGCACTCAAGAGAGCCTCCGAGATGGCCCTGAAGCGCCGCCCCAAGAGGGCCCCAAGTCGGTTCAGAGAGGCATCCAAGACGGCTTCCGACAGCGTCAGACGGGCCAGGAACGCCCTAAGACCACCCAAGAGGACCCCAAGAAGCTCCAAAGGGCCCCCAAGAGGCCCAAGGAGGCTTCCAAGAGGCGTCCGAAAGGCACGCAGGAAGCTCCCAGGAGGCCCCAAGTGTCCTCCTCCTCCTCCTTCTCCTCCTCCCTCCTCATCCATTCCTCTTCCTTATGAAAAACTCTTCCCTGTCGCACCCCGGGGCCAGTCGGAAGGGCGGACGGGGCGTTCCGCCTGCGACTTCCTGACCAGCTATGAGCCTGAAGCTTGAAAACTGGCACCAGGTTCACGGATGGAGGGCAAGTCGTTCTCAACATGTGGCTCTCGCCTCAGCGCCGCGCACATGCTCTTCACCAGAATTGCAAGGGCTTCACAGATGGAGGGCGGGTGGTTTTCAGAATGCGGCACTCGCCTCAGCGCCGCGCGCACTCGTTTGAAACACTGCAAGCATTGCACGGCTTGAGGACAGGTCGATTTCAACAGATGGCTCTCGCCTTAGCACCGCGCACAACTTCGCTTTGAACATGTGCATGGATTTCACGGATTGGGGACAGGCCGTTTTCAAAAGGTGGCTCCCGCCTTAGCGCCGCGCACATTCTTTTTTAAAACCATGTGCAGGAGCGTTACGGATTGAGGACGGTTCGGTTTCAAAACGTGGTTCCCGCCTTAGCGCCGCGCACCTTCGTTTCAAAAACATAAGAGTGACACGGATTCCCATGTCTAATATTCCAGGCATGGTGCTCTTGGAACGATTCAGGACCGTCAGAGCGCAACGGTGACGTTGATTCGCTGTGCCGAACTCCCAGGAACGGCTTTCCGGCACGATTCGGGATCGTCAAGACGCGACAGGCTGGTTGACTCGTGGCGTTGAAGTCCTGAGAATGGTGTTCTGGCAGGCGTCAACATTTCCACACGGTTGTCCTTCAACAGCGTACTTCCCTCAGTGATCATGAACTTTTCTATGGGGCCGATGAAAAGGGGGCTTGGGGGGAGGGCGTAGTCCAACATCGTTGATAAATCTTGAATTCACACTGGTCCTCTGCCTCCTCCTCGTCCTCAGCCTCCTCAGCCTCCTAAGCCTCCTCCGCCTCCTCTTCCTCCTCCTCCTCCTCCCTCCCTCCCTCCCCCTGCCCGTCCGTCCCTCCCTCCCTCCCTCCCTCCTCCTCCTCCGCCTCCTCCTCCTTCTCCTCCTCCTCTATGTTTCCTCCCTGTCCTACGCTTCTTCTTTCTCCGCCACGAATTCCCAGAAGGGTTTCCACAACAGCTGGGGGAACACATGATCCGATAGCTTGGCAGAGCTCTGGCCACAACGTTCGGCCACATGGACGATTCCAAAAGGCAGGGGGCGGCGGTGATTCGCCGTAGACGTCTTCTATACTAGCCATAAGCGTAATCAGCATCGCCCACAACATCGATACAATCACCATCAGCATCAGCAGTACTGTCATCCTCACCATACGTATGCTCGTCACCATGATCCGAATCATGTCATGATTGGTATTGGCAGCAACAGCCGTGCCATCCTAATAGTCGTTGTCATCACCATATCCCACCTTGTCCTCCTCACCATAAATATTCCTCATCATATTCACCATCAAATAATCGCTGAAAACCAAATCACTCCAAGTCCTACCATGTAAAAGCATCACCCCTCCCATCCACATTTCTCGTTCCTCCTTCCTCCTCCCTCCCTTCCTGCATCCATCCAACCATTATATGGTCATCCTCCCCCTGCCCATCCCCCCTCCATTCCTGAGCACCATCTCCGTCTTTCCCTTCCTCCCTCTCCTCGTCTGTCCTCCTCCTCCTCGTTCTTGGTTCCTGATGGCTTTCAGGTCTTCAGACGTAGCCTCCCCCCCCCCGCAGGGCTGGTCGGCCCCAGGGGGTGATCAAACTAGGAGGAGGAGGAGGAGGAGGAGGAGGAGAGGAGGAGGAGGAGGAGGCGGAGGAGGAGGAGGAGAAAGAGGAGGAGCGTCCCCCTCCTCCACATCATCCTCCTCCTCCTCCTCTCATCATCCTCCTCCTCCTCCTCTCTCCCTCTCCTCCTCCTCCGTCTTCCTCCTCCACTTTCTCCTCCTCCCCTCCTCTCGTCCTCTCCTCCTCCTCCTCCTCCTCCTCCTCATCCGCCTCCCCCTCCTCGTCCCTCCTCTTCCCTCATAACTCTTCTCCTCCTCCTCCTCCTCCTCGTCCCTCCTCCTCCTCCGCCTCCTCCTCGTGGCCTCCAGCGTGCCCTCCGACAGGCCGCCCAGCAGCAGGCTCCGCGCCAGCCCCCGGACCTCCTCAACCGCGTCGTCCGCCTCCGCGGCCTCCCCACCGCCGCCGCCGCCCTCGGGCGCAAGGTCTTCGGCTGTGATGTTCTCCTCCGCCTCCGTCGGGGGGGGCCACCAAGGGGGTAGCGGCGGGGCCAGACCCTGACACCTCCGCGTCGTGGAAGATTCACGGCGGGCGGTGTTTGGCCACTTTCGGCCTCCAGGCGCCCTCGCCAGGCCGCGGGACCCTCCAAAAACGGCTCAGGACGGAAAGCCAGTCCCCCGGAAGGGGCCCAAACCTGGGGATCCGCGCTTTGAGAAATCACGACGCCGGATGTCTGTGGACGACAGAGGCAGTCAGCATCGAATCTGCACATCGGTAAGAAATCGAACTGGGCGGCATCGGCACGATGTCGGAATCGAATCGGATCGGCAGCGCTGGGACGCACACCAGCGCCATGCAGGCATCGACGGGACGCACTGGATCTTCGGCATAGCGGAGTCGAATCGGATCGGGCCAGCCGGAGTCGATATCGAATCGGATCGATCGGATCGACTGGGTCGAAATGGGTCCTGGAGAGGGGCGAGCTTCCTGGAGAGGGGCGATCTGGGCGGCTCCTGGAGGAGAAGGGACATGTAAGGAGGATTCGCTGTCTAACCCCACCTTGGACTACCCCTCTCTGCGACCCCCATTCTGGACGGACGACGATGACAACGACAACGAGAATGGCGGCGGCGGCGGCGGCGGCGAGAATCCACTTTCGGAAACCCTCTTTGAGGGGCCCGGAGACCATCAGGAATCGGTCCGCGCTGAAGAAGCGGGCATGGTGGGCCCCGGGAAGAGTCCAGGATCGTCGGCCGTCGCAGCCTCATCGCCGCCTCGAACGCTAACGCACGCCTCTGGGCTTCCACCCGGCGGCCGACCGTCGCCGCCTCTCGTCGCCGCCTCGTGCGCTGGCGTGCGCTTCCCGGTTTCCGCCCAGCTGTCTCCCGTCGCCGCCTCGCCGCCACCTCGCACTTCGCATGCGCTTCCGGGCTTCAGCCTGGTGGCCGCCCACCGTCGCCTCATCGCCTGAGGCGCCGGCTGGGCTTCTGACATACCTAGGGATCGTCCTCGATTCCGGCCTGTGGCACCGGGGATGTCAGAGATCTACATCAAGACTGACCTGCGCTGGCATAGAGACTCTAAACACCAACGCTGTATGACAAGAAACCTGGTTGGAACAGCACGGCACGGCAACTGTTTCGCATTCTCGGCATCACGCACGGCACGGCACGGCACGGCACGCGAGCACGGCACAACATTGCACAACACTGCACGGCACGGCCACTTTGTCCCATTCTCGACACCGATCACGGCACGGCACGCAGGCACGGCACGACACGGCACAGCACAGCACGACACGACACAGCACGCGGGCCAAGGCACGGCACGGCACGGCACGGCACGGGAAGAAAACTTGTTCGCATTCTCGAGACCAAGCACGGCACCGCACAGCACGGCTCGCGGGCACGGCAAAGAAACTGATTCTCGACACCAAGCGCGGAACAGCGCGACGCACGGCACGACACGGCACGGCACGCGGGCACGGCAAGGCAGGCGCGCACGACACGGCACGGCCTGGCATGCTTGTCACATCTTCGAAGCCAAATCCAGCACGGCACGGCACGGCACGCGAGCATGGCACTGCACTGCACGGCACAACAACTTGTTTCGGACTCTTGAAACCAAGCACGGCACGGCACGGCACGCGGGCAAGGCACAGCACGGCACGACAACTTTTTCGCATTCTCGACACCAAGGACGGTATGACACGGCACCCAGGCACGGCACGGCGCGGCATTCGGGCACGGCACGGCACGGCTACTTTGACGCATTCTCGAAACCAAGCACGGCACAGCACGGCACAGCACGCGGGAACGCGGGCACGCGGGCACGGCACGGCAAGGCACGGCATTGCATGGCACGGTAACTTCTCGCATGTTTCAAACCCAGCGCACGGCACGGCATGGCACCCGGGCACGGCACGGCAAGGCACGACAACTTTATCGCACTCTCGAAACCAGGCACAGAACGGCACGGCACGGCACGCGGGCACGGCACTGCACGGCAACTTTGATGTGTTTTGCACTCTCGCAACCAAGCGCGGCATGGCCCGGCACAGCACGCGGGCACTGCACGGCACGGCAAGTTTGACGCATCCTCGAAACGAGGCACGGCACGGCACGGCATGGCAGGTGGGTGCGGCAGGGCAACTTGTTTGCACTCTCGGAGCCCAGCACGGCAAGGCACGGCACGGCACGCGGGCACGCAGGTACGCAGGCACGGAAAGCCACAACACGGCATGTTTGCTGCATGCGAGACCAAGCACGGCACGGCAAGGTAAGGCACGCGAGCACGGCACCGCACGGCAAGGCACGGCAACTTTTTCCGCAGTCTCGAGGCCAAGCACGGCACAGCATGGCGCTGCACGGGGGCACGGCACGGCAGGGCAACTTTGTCGAACACGTGCTGCGTTCTCAAAGCTTTGTTGCGCTTGCCAACCTAAGCACAGCAAGGCACGGCACGGCACGGCGCGGCACGCGGGGGAGCTTGCGGCCGTCACCAACGTCGCAATCTGAAAGCCAAAAACGCATGTCCTTACACGATTTGACACTGCTTAAGGCATCCGTTGTTTGACGAAACCCAGCCACGATGGACGCCAGGCGGGGTCTAGGATGTGACCAGTATTTGTGGACGACGACGACGACGACGACGACGACGACGACGACGACAACGACGACGACGTCGAGGGCGACGGCGACGAAGACGGCAAAGACGACGTCGACGACGACGACAACGGGCGACGACGACGCGAGCGACGATGGCGACACCGTGGACGACGACGACGACGAAGACGACGACCAGACGACGACCAGACGACGACGACAACGGCGACGATGACGACGACGACGACGACGACGACGACGACGACGACGACGACGGCGGCGGCGGCGGCGGCGACGACGACCAGACGACGACGACGATGGCGACATCGCAGACAACAACGACGACGACGACAACGACGACGACGACGACAAGACGACAAGACGACAAGACGACAAGACGACGAGCAGACGACGACCAGAAGACGATTAGACGACGACGACGAAGACGACGGCGGCGGCGGCGGCGACGACGACCACCACCACCACCACGACGGCGAGGGCGACGGCGATGGCGATGGCGATGGCGACGGCGGCCTCGGCGGCGGCGACGGCTACGACGACGGCGACCACGGCGGCGGCGACGGCAGCGGCGACGACGGTGCGGTCGACAAACGACGACGGCGGTGACGGCCTTCGCGGCGGCCTCGGCATCGTCGCGCTCGCGCTGCCGGCTTCGCAGCAGCTGCTCCAGCGACCCGTCGCCCAGCGCCTCTTCGAGGGCGCCTCGGACGCGGACGCGGGAGTCCGTCAGCTCGTCGCCCGCCGCCTGCTCCTGGGCCTGGCCCGTCGTCGTCTTGGAACATTTTGGAAAAGACGACGACGACGACGACGACGACACCGACGACGACGACGACCACGACGACGACGACGACGACGACGACAGTTCGCTCTTCATTGCCCGCGTGTCGTTCTGCCTGTACACCCCAAACCTCCGACTCCTGGCCTCTTCGATTCTGACCGTGCCCCCTCGGGAGACGCTTTTTCTCCATGCCAGCTCCTGGGCAAACCCTGGCTGTGTAAGACCATCGGGTCTGGCGGGCGGGCCTCCACGGGCCGGGCTGGGCGGGCAGGAGAGTCAACCAGGCGGCGCGCGCCTCCCAAACGATCGACCCCGCGGATCCCAGCAGGCGGATCGGGCGGCGGACACCAACGGGCGGGTCGTGGCGGCTATGGCAGGCGGACCCCAACCGAGACATCCGGCCGCTCCAACTTTCTCGGAGGCGTGGGCCCCGGAGGTCTGGAGGACCACTTCCCAGGGGCCGGCTTTGCATCCCGACTCCTTTTCTGACGGCCCCGAGGCCCGGTGAGGGCGAGGAGGGAGGAGGAGGAGGAGGAGGAGGAGGAGGAGGAGGCGGAGGAGGAGGGAGGAGGAGGAGGGGAGAGGAGGAGGAGGAGAAGAGAAGGAGGAGGAGGGATAGGGCAGGGGAGAGGGAGGAGGAGGAGAGGAGAGGAGGAGGAGGAGGAGGAGGAGGAGGAGGAGCCTCGAGGCCGAAAGCCGCCCCAAAATCCGCTGCTCCTTCTCTCTTTGAAGCGTCAGACCTCTGGGAGCGGACGGGTCGCGCGGGCGGCCTCTTGCGGGCGGGCCGGGCGGGCCGGGGGCGGCCGAAGCGGGCGCCGGCAACGGGCGGGCTGGGCGGGTGGACAGTCTTGAAGGGGCCCTGAGACATACAAATAAATACACACAACTAAAAGGATTCCCCGTATTTTCCCATATTTTCTGGGGTTTTGTCTTCCCCCCCACTTCCCACATTTTCCCATGTTTTCTTGGGAATCGACGATTGATTGTGTCTGCGTGTTTTCTTCCCTCCTGAACAGTGCTGGGCGGGGCGGGCGGGCGGGCCCCAACGGGCGGGTCCGGCAGGGGGACCCGATCGGGCGGGTCCCGTCCCCTGATCGGGGGCGGTTCTGGATCTTCTCGTGGCCACGGCTGCGCGCGGCGGCGCCGAGGGTTTCCGTGCCGACCTTCGCCGGATTGGAGGTGCCAGTCAGCTCGCCGCCCGCCGCCCACTCCTGGGCTCTTTCCTTGTCTTGGCTACGTGCGACTGCGAGACCCACACACACACACACACACACACGATACCCGCCACCAGCGCCATATCGACGACTTCGAAACTGCTGAAAATCTGAAGTTCCCATTCCAGCCCCCGCTCCTGGGCTCGAGGATCAAAAAGGTCACACCAGAGTTTGCTCCTCCAGATCCCAGGCAATGCCAAGGGGGTTACCACTGATGGGGTCGCCACCTCCTCCTGGAAACGGAACCCCCTAGCCCCCCCGAGAGCCATCCAGGACTCCCGAAGTACAGAAGGTCCAGAAGCCTCGCCGATCCTCGATCCTCCCTCCTCATCCTAGATGCTCGATTTCCAGGGTGACCCCCTGGCCTCTGGGAGCTCGTTTCAGGCCTCGTGGACCGTCAGACATCGAATCGGGAGAAGCTCGGCGGTCAGGATGGACCACAGAAAGGGGTGCAAGAGACTACTATCGGGATTTGATCCAGGGGAGGATCGGGGATGGATGATCGACAAGGACGAAGAAGAGGAGGAGGAGGAGGAGGAGGAGGACGAGGAGGAGGAAGATCAGGAGCAGATGCAGGGGAGAGGAGGAGGAGGAGGAGGAGGAGGAGGACGACGACGACGAGGAGGAGGCTGCCAGGGGTAGGCGACAGCTGTCAGTTCGAGCCCGAAGTAGAGATAGCAAGATGTTTAGTAAGGCTCTGGGGGGGGGGGGGAATTCGCATGGTCCGCGGAATTCGCATGGTCCGCGGAACCCGTCGGCAAACTTCTCCCAGGGAATGCCTGGTCAGCCTTTCGGCCCTTGGACCCATACCCCCCAGAGCGCAGAGCTTTGGTTTGTGCCAGTCGGAAGGCGCAGCATTCCACAGTGTGAGAGCTGTGCGAGGCGGATCGGCGACGACCGACTCCGAGCGCCAGTGGCGCACCCCTTGACTCGGGTGTCCCCCTCCTCCGCCTCCTCCTCCTCCTCACTTCCCCGATCGACCGATTGACGTTTCCACGTTTCCTATCTCGTCCGACCGTGTGCCGAGCGAACGCCTAGAGGCGGCTGCTGCTTGCCGCTGCCGCCGACGGCCGTACAGCTGGCCGCCGCCCCCTGCCGAGCGCCAGACGGCGCCCGTGGTGGGCCCTTCCCGAACCGCTCGACAGCCGTCCACTACGTTGGAATGATAATGAAGAGGAGGAGGAGGAGGAGGAGGAGGAGGAGGAGGAGGAGGAGGAGGAGGAGGGGGAGGAGAAGAGAAGGAGAGGAGAAAAAGAAAGACACGACGACGATGATGCGGGAGAAGGAGAAAGATGGAGACGAGGAGGCAGAGAGAGAGGAGAGAGAGGAGAGGGAGGAGGAGAGAGAGGAGGAGAGAGGAGAATGAGATAGGAGGAGGAGGAGGAGGAGGAGGGGGAGGGGGAGGGGGAGGAGAAAGAGGAGGAGGAGGAGGAGGACCAGTGTAAACCCAAGACTCATCAACGATGTTGGAATACACCCTCCCTCCAGGCTCCCTCTTCGTAGGCCCATACAAGGATTCATTTCCACCGAGGAAAGTGCCCCATTGCGAGACAACTATTGGAAAATCCTCAAGCGTGCCACAGCACTTATCTTGGGCCCCCAACGCCACGAATCAGCATGACCGTGTCGCCTTGACGATCCTGAATCGTGGCAAAACACAACTCCTGGACTTCAACACAGCCAATCAACGTAACCGCTGCGCACGGACAAATCTGGCTCATTCCAAAACATCACTTCGGGTACATTGACCAGGGGAACCAATGAAACTCTCGCACAGGTTGAAAATGCATCTGCGCGACGCTGCACCGAAAGCCGCATTTTGAAAAGGAGCCGCCCTGAATCCGTGAAGCTCTTGCACATGTTTAGAGCAAGCGTGCGCTGTGCCAAGACGAGAGCCACCTTTTGAAGACGGGCCGCCCTCCACCTGTGAAACGCTTGCACACGTTTAGAAAGAGTGGGCGCGGCGCGAATGCCAGAGCACTCCTCCTCCTCCTCCTCCTCCTCCTCCTCCTCCTCCTCCTCCTCCTCCTCCTGCTCCTCCTCCTCCTCCTCCTCCTCCTCCTCCTCCTCCCGCTCTGAATGTCTTTGCTATTTGTCCTCCTCCTCCTTCTCCGCCTCCTCCTCCTCTTCCTCCTCCTCCTCCCCCTCCATTCCTTTTCTTGCTGCCTAACTCCTCCCTGTCGCACCCCGAGACCGATCGAAAGGGCGGGCCGGGCGTTTCGCCGGAGAATTCCTGCCCACTCATGGTCCTGAGGCTGTGAATTTGCAAGAGCTTCACGGATGGAGGGCGGCTCGTTTTCAAAATGTGGCTATCGTCCAACACTGTGCACGTTCGTTTCAAAAGTTCGCAAAAGCTTATGGATGGAGAGCGGCCCGCTTTCAAAATGCGGTTATCGCATAAGCGCCGCGCACAGTCGTCTTAAACGTTGGGAAAGTGTCACGGATGGAGGGCGGCCCGTCTTCAAAAGGTGGCTCTCGTCTGGGCACTGCGCACACTCGTCTTGAACATTTGCCAGAGCTTCACGGATGGATGGCGGTCCATTTTCAAAAAAATTGCTCTCGCTTTGGCCCCGCGCACATTCGTCGCAAAGGTCCGCAGGAGCTTCACAGATGGAGGGCGGCGCCTTCTCAAAATGTAGCTTTCGCCCTGGCGCCGCGCACATTCGTCTTCAGAGTTTGCAAGAGTCTCACGGATTCTCATGTCTAACGTCCCAGGCACGCTGTTTTGGCACGATGTTGGAATATCGGGGCGCAGCAATCACTTTGATCCAGGGCGTTGAGGTTATGGCACGACTCTCGATCGTCAAGACGCAACAATAACGGTGGTTCGCGACGTTGATGTTCCAGGAATAATGTTCTGGCATATCTCCAAACTTTCAATTGGTTGCCTTACAACGGGAAACTTCCCTCAGTGAACGTGAATCCGTGTAGGGGCCTATGAAGAAGAAACTTGGGGGTAAGTGGATTGCATTATCCTTGGCGAGTCTTGTGTTTACACTGGTCCTCCTCCTCCTCGTCCTCCTCCTCCGCCTCCTCCTCCTCCTCCTCCCCCTCTCCTCCTCCTCCTCCTCCTCCTCCT